TACCCCTTCGGGGATAAAAAGGCGTTATGTTATGTTTTGTTTGTTATGTCTAATTAAACTGTCAACCACCACCTTCAGTTACTTCTAATTTCTAATCTTTTGTATTATAAGCACGTAACATTTTCTTAAGATTACAAGTCGTCATAATTTAAATTATGAATCAGAAAACATTTTTTTTATCAGCTAATGGTGAAAATAATGGGGTAGACGACTAATTTTTATTTTAATGTCCGTCTGGTAGATTATTTAAAAATATTAGACAAGTATTTTTTATTTTCTAACGGAAACGAATAGTTTTGAATATATATTGATTTGAAATGTCGCGTGACGTCACTTCTCAGTACATTTTATACTAAGAAATGACGTTTTACCCCCCACTCCTAAACTTTAACTCGTTTTATCTAAGTATTGTTTTATTATACGACAAAATAAAAAAATACGTGTCTAAAATTTTTTTATTACCTAACTTATGGACTAATTATATTTTTAATTTTTATACCCTGTCATCATCCCCATTACTAATAAAAGATTTAAAAGTAAACAATGATTGACAGATGATTACATTTTTTTTGTATAATTATGTGTTTTATTTTCGTATTTGTCAAAACTTATATAATTGTGTAGGTAATTACATTTTATCAGATTACTTATGTAATCTATTATAATGTAATTAGATTAACTTGCAATTCAATTACTTTGTATTTAATTACATTATGTACTCATTGCAATTAGTTACTTAAATAATCTGTTACAAAGTATTTCAATTACAAATTACAATGTAACTGAATTTGTAATTATTAATCTAAATACTTTTTGCTTATCACTGCCTACAACCTTGTAAATTAACTTTAAGATATTACACGGGTGAGACTGTAAAACCGTTAGGTATAATAAAACCACTAGTTCGTTATAAGAATAGAAGTGAATCTTTAGAATTGCTTGTTATCGATAAGGGAAAAAGTATACTCTTAGGGTGACATTGGATAGCGGCCTTAAATATACAACTTCCGAATATAAATTATGATGTGCATAAAATGTGGAAAAATAATGATTGCAATATAACCTATTTCAGTTCCAAATATTGTAACGAGTTCGCGGAGGGCGGCGCAGTAATCATACACGTGCAGCCGGGCGCGCAGCCGGTGTTCATGCGCGCACGCCCGCTGGCATACGCGCTGCGCGAGCCGGTGGAGCGCGCGCTGGACCAGTACGTGCGTTACGAAGAATCTGTGTATGCAGGTCTCTTGTCAACTAGGAGCGGAATAAAATACGGACAAGTGAACAGACACAATAAACAAAGCTAAACTAAAATAAGGCAATTATGGAAGTTAATGCTAGGCCTTAAAAGTAACGAAGGGATAAAAGGACTTTAATGTCGTGATTGGCGTTTGGGTCCTCTATTGAGTAACGCCAACATTTGGTCAGTAGCTGGTGTGGCTACAAAGTATAATCATACCAAGTTCATCGTAGTCGGACCGGTATTTTTGTGTGATGCGTGAACAGAGAGTGATACAGACGTCTGTCTGTATCACTGTCTGTTCACGTCTGAGTCTGTGTTTGTCTAGACAAAATCATATTTTTGGGTTTGGTGTCTATCTAGTAACACCTATTTCCTTTTTTTAATATTTTCAATGTACAGTATTTTACACTTCAACAGTTTTAATATATGCAGTGAAATGTATTTCGTTTTCTTCCCGAAATAAAGTGGTTCTTGGTAATACAACAGTTTAAAAAAGAAATAAAATGTTTAAAACAAAAAATAACTGGTGAGTCATTGCAAAAAGTTAACTTTCGAACTCATAGTAAGTACATTATCACGCCATGTAATTCTCGAAGAGATATTTCTCGTCGGGCGGCACGTGTGATGTGCCTACAAATTTAAGTCTAGTGTTCCATGTGCGTATTTCCATTATTCTTTTTAAACTAAAAAGAAAAATATATTTTTTTTGTTCTACTTTATACATCGATAGTTCTCCTTATGACAAGTTGTTTTGCCGCGAGACGAAAACAAAATACATTTCGCGGTGTATGTGTAGATATTGTACCAATATCATTATTGTGTTATGTTTAGTGTTATTTAAGTATAGGTCCACCGCATTCATGAATACATAAGTGACAGATAGTTCATGTACTTAAATTACGTCCTATACCTATTGGAGAGTACATGTTGGCCAACCAGACATTAGGAAACGGGACAAAAATATAACTTGTAAGTCATAACAAAGAAAATCTAATTGTAAAATAAAACATAATTTATTTGCTTTTATATATTATTCCCTTAAAACTAATTAATACTAAAGTTAAAACTAATTTAAACTTGTTAACAAACTGATATTAAACTTACTTATTTTCTTTTTCTTTCATGTTATACATTT